CAAGACCCTGTTGTTTCCTTATATTAAGTATACATTTGATGACATACCACTCACCCGAAGGAAGTTAGCACTTCCTTAGTAACCTCTGACTATTGTACAAGACAGAGAATCAGAAGAAAAAGCTCTAAAAAGAGGCTACAAGTTTTCCTTTTGTAAAGGAAATTTATATTTATAAAAGAAATCTCCATTTATAAAGATAACTCACTACTACTACTACAGTGGGGGGAAAAAAAAGAAAATAAAGAAAGAAGATAACTCACTTTATAGTACCAGGAAGAGAAGGACTCTTAACTCTTATCAATGGAGATGGCCCCAACTTTAATCAACGTAACAAACGTCACTAAAAAACCCTTGTTTACTATACTTTTTTTGGTCACCTTCCCATAACTTGCCTTCCCTGCCCAGAAACCCAAAACCAATTTTCCTTTGTTCAGCCTAAAATGGCCTTCAAGCCCAAATTCCAACTGCCCCTTTGGGTCACTCATCACTGAATACTCCCAACTGCACATGTGCAACATACATGCTAATAAATTTCTGGCTCACGCCTGTAATCCTAGAACTCAGAGAGGCCGAAGTGGCAGGATCTCTTGAGGTCAGGAGTTCAAGACCAGCCTCAGCAAGAGCGAGACCCTGTCTCTACTAAAAATAGAAAGAAATTAGCCAGGCAACTAAAATAGAAAAATTAGCCGGGCATGGTGGCACACACCCTACATGTAGTCCCACCTACTGGGAAGGCTGAAGCAGGCGGATCGCTTGAGCCCAGGAGTATGAGGTTGCTGTGAGCTAGGCTGACACTACAGTGCTCTAGCCCAGGCAACAGAGTGAGACTTTGTCTCAAAAAATAATAATAAAATAAAATAAATTTGTTTTTCTCTTATTACTCTGTCTTTAGCCAATCTAATTTACAGCTGGAAAACCTAAGATGAATAAAGGAAAAGATTTTTTTTTCCTCCCCTCTACCATCTTCACCTCTCTCAACCTGGCCTTCCCTCCTCCTTTGAAAGGTGGAGGGTTGTGTTAAATTAAATGAAATGTGGCCTAAGGATGCCTTTGTACCTTGAGTATCTACAAACTCAACTGCAAAACTCACCTGCAAAACCAACGGTAACCTAATTTAGCATGTAAACAAATTGAAAGCCTAACTTAGGAGTAGTCTCAGCCAATCACAGCAGTTGAGCTTCAGCTAATCATAGGCAGCCAACTGATCAGACCATGTTCAAATAAGGCAAATGTTGATCTGTTACCAATCAAACTGTTCCTGTACTTCGCTTCCATTTTCTGTCCAGAAATGCTGCCTGCCCCTGTTGAGGAGCAGAGCTCTCTGAACCACTACTGGTTCTGAGGGCTACCCAATGCCCGAGTGGAGTCATTCTTTGCTTAAATATTAAATATAATTTGTCTGAAGCTTTTCTTTTAACAGGTAAAAGAGGTGAAACTAAAAAGGGAGAATTTCTTGGAGGAGAATCATTTCTACTCAGTTCAATACCCCTTCGAAAATAGTTAACAATAATTTCACATACCATTAGAATAAAAAACAAAGAGAAAGACTCCAATTTGCCAGCTTACCCTGACAGGAGATGAAGGCTTCCTGGAATCTAAATGGTAGTAAAATTAGTGACGTGCCAAGAAACTGAGGGGTAATCATGGCCAAACCAGACACACGGGGAAAAATAAAACAAAACAAAACAAAAACCCATGGCATTAATCTAAGGAGAGTCCTACCCTCCAAGACACCAAAAAAAGAAGCTCCAGGAGGCGCCTGGCCTATCCCTACAGAAATTACAAATTTCATTCTCCACGCACCTACAACCAGATCAATCCCTCTGAATAAAGAAAGCACTTATGTAGGCCTGCTACTCAAAAGGCAGGCAGGAACGTTAGGAACTCACATTAGAGAACACAGGAGTCAACAGTCAATATTTAAACAAACTTGGTGTGAAATGACACTAGGATTTGTGTTCTATAAAAACTCCAAATGTACTGGTAAATTTTAAATTTCAGGTAATAGCACTTTAAAACTTAATAATGCAAGTATGGTGAACAAAGACAATCTATCTTCCTTAGATAACTACTTTAGATTAAAGGAAGTATTTTGAAAATCTAAAATTTCTGACCCTTTTTTTCCATAAAAAAGCAACAATGACATAGTATTAAAATTATTTACATAGGTTTTGCCCTTAGATATACAGACTGAATATAGTAAGTATATATGATTATAGTCTACATAAAGCTAAAGTTAACATAAAGTATCATCGATTAGAAAGTATATGAATATTCAAACATTTATGCTATTGGCCTTATTTAAACCAAAAAATTCTCTGGAAAATCAAAGGTCATCTTGATAAGTTTTCAGTTCAATTTTAGATAACTTCTGAGCAATCTAAGGATGTTAAATACATTCAAAGCCATTACAGATTAAGTAAAGATGCATTGTGTTAAATAAGCAAATTAGATTACATAAGCCTGTCAAAAGTAAAGAACCACATCTTTTTTGCCCTCTTCATGGCAACTATTAATATTCTATAAATATGTCAGATAAGCATAAGTAATTGCTTGTTGAGAAGTACACTTTTGGAAAAGAATATTAAAAATCAGTATGGCTTAAGCTCACACATCTGTAACCATTTACTCAGAAACTGAAGCCCATCAGAAAGGAATCTGAGATGCCATGTGATGCTTTCTCTTTACCAGAGTATGATAAGATAGGCTAACTTCAGGTCAGCAAGACCCTGTTGTTTCCTTATATTAAGCATACATTTGATGACATACCACTCACCCGAAGGAAGTTAGCACTTCCTTAGTAACCTCTGACTATTGAGGGTTGTTTGGGCATGTCCAGGAGACTGACTTTAGAAAGTCTTCCCTAGATCACCTCAAATTTTTCTTAGAAGCACATAGGCTATAAAGGAAAACAAAAAATACTGGGGGAGGGGGCAGTCGAGGGAAAGAATGTCAAGTTCAGCTCACATGTTCCTCTACTGACGCCAGTGGTTTTATTTAAACTAGAAAATGCTTGTGCTTTCCCTGTTACAGTAAAAGCTAGGTAAAAGTTCAGTCTGGAACCTCAAGAAATATATTCAAGAGAACAAAAACATTAACTTCCTATGATTCTCAATTTAAACCAAGCCAGGAAAAATATACAAATTG